GTAATGTCATGGTCTGGTCTTAGCGTAACTCCTCCTCCTACCCGTGATCACTGAGATCCATTGTCCCAGTGCATCCCCCCCTGTGGAACATGCCCCAGCCATTTTGTTGGCTGGGGCCCACTCCCCGGCAGCCCTGACCCCTCCCCTTAAGAACAAAATAAGTCCTTAAAACAATGAAAACAAAACAAAAAACAAAAAAAAATCCCCAGAAAACAAAAAACAATACAAATAAAAAACTATTAAAATTACAAATCCATCAAAATCAAACAAATTCCCAACTAAACATCCATCCCACCCCCATTCCCGTCCCCGCATATACAAAAAAATAAAATAAAAAGGAAAAGGAAAATTTCTAAAACATTTTAAAAAGAACTCTGCGCCCCTCCGGATCCTCCTGGGCTGCAGCAGCAGTGACAGCAACCGTCCCTGTGAGGCCTGTCAGACCCCGCCCTAGGCCAGGTGGTAAGCGGCAAGAGCAGGGCCCTCAGACACTCACACAGCACAGATGTCTCTGCTTTTTAAGATGTTGTCTAGATTTGCCATCGCCTTTCTTCCAAGGAGCCAGCGTCTTTTAATTTTGTGGCTGCTGTCACCATCTGCAGTGATCATGGAGCCCAAGAAAGTAAAATCTCTCACTGCCTCCATTTCTTCCCCTTCTATTTGCCAGGAGGTGATGGTCCCAGTGGCCATGATCTTCGTTTTTTTGATGTTGAGCTTCAAACCATATTTTGCCCTCTCCTCTTTCACCCTCATTAAAAGGTTCTTTAATTCCTCCTCACTTTCTGCCATCAAGGTTGTGTCATCTGCATATCTGAGGTTGTTGATATTTCTTCCAGCAATCTTAATTCCGGCTTGGGATTCATCCAGCCCAGCCTTTCGCATGATGAATTCTGCATATAAGTTAAATAAGCAGGGAGACAATGTGGGACCTTAAAGACTAATAAATGAATAGTTTATTATTGTTATTGTTATTATATTCTATTTATATACCACCCTTTATCAAAAGATAACTCTGGTGCTGGGAGGTCAGCAGTCAATCTTGCCAAATGGCAAGGAAAGCATTTGTCGAGAAACAAAATATGTAGCAGTGGAGAAAAAGAAAAAGAAGTGTAGCAAGACTGGAATGAGAAAAGAAGGAAGGAAGGAAACAGGAATTCACATTTTCTGGGACTTTTGGGGAGGTTATGGCGCACTAGGCATAATTATGCAGTGATTGAAGATAACCGGGATATATATCTTGGTTACCAAACTCCCCTTTGAAATAAGGAAGTTCCAGGGTTAGACCAGAGCTTTCCAAACGTTCCAAGATGGTGACACACTTTTTAGACGTGCATCATTTCGCAACACAGTAATTCAGTTTTACTAGCAAACCGGAGGTTAAACTAACCCCTTTCCAGCCCTGGGAGGAGCATGGGGAGCATTTGTGTGACACACCTTCACACTGCAAGCGACACACTAATGAGCAGCGACACACAGTTTGGAGAGCCCTGGGTTAGACTCTCCTGCTCGGAAGAAGGTATTTGTCACACCAAGAACAAATAGGTTTTTTGAGGGAAAGTTCCAATTAAGAGGCTAATACTGTGGCTATTGGGGAGTTGGGTTATATGGGTGGCTGTGACCCCAAAGTGGTGGACACTAAAGGGATTTACCTCTTTGTGGGGAGTCTGTTTCAGTGGGAGAGGAAGGACAAGGGCTGCCCTGTTAATATCTGGAGACTAATGGTATACATTTCTCCCCTCATTCCCCTTCAACTTCAGGTAGAGAGGCCTGGAGGGCTGCATCTGCAAACTGGTACCCTCTTTTTGGCAATGCATAGCCAGTCACATTACTTACATGGTTTGATTACATATGTAAATATGAAACTATTGTTATGAGTTGGTGGGTGCAAGACACCCTAAATTCTGGATCCAGCTAGTGTTAGAATTTAATTAAGGCTTGTGTTTTAAAACTGATTGCTAGACCCATGTGTGTATTTGAGCTGTGTACTAGATGCTTCTAACCCACTGGAATCAACATGTGTCAAAAGCTAATTAAGCCCAGCTGGTGCTTCCTGTGATGTGTCAAAAGCTAATTAAGCCTGGGAGCAATGGGGGATTATTCAGAAGGGTGGTGGGAATGGGTGAACCCTCCCCACCCTCTCCCTATATATAAGGGTCTGGTGACTTCTGTTTCAGTGTATCTGAAGAAGTGTGCATGCACACCAAAGCGCATACCAAGAACAAACTTAGTTGGTTTCTAAGGTGCTACTGGAAGGAATGTTTTATTATGTTTTTCTATATTTTGGAAGCTGCCCAAAGTGGCAATCCAGTCAGTTGGGAGCGGTATAAATAGTAAACTTCTTCTTCTTCTTGAATAGGACATCCCTATTGTCATCAGAGAAATTCTGAAGGGTGTGTAACATTTCCGCGAAGAAAGCTGAAGGCATTTCCAAAGAGAAACCATTACTTGTAATATGCAAAATCCCCGCCCACATCCAGTTTCACCCGCTTGTGCAGTTTCTTTTGCATTGTTTCAAAACCTGCAAAACTTGAATGAACACTCTATTTCCCGTAAGTCACTTTTGCATGTGTTCGTTCCTAAGTCCTTTCTGTCCTGTTGCCTCATTTGACTTAAAAAAATCCCCCAAGTATTCATATTTAAATATATTTCTGAACATTTTTTTAAATAAAATTTTATTAGGAATTGCAACATAACATTTTATCAATAAAACATATCAACCTTAATTTCCCCCCTTATTTCCCCCCTCCCCCCTCTCCAGAGAAGAACCCCCCCCCCCAAGACTTCCCTCAGCTCCTCTCTCTTCCATACTTAGAATTCTCTGCATATTGTAAAATTGTAAAGATTTCATGCGCCTTCCTGCCACGATGGCTTGGCCTCCGCAGGGCAGCCTCTCTCCTCGCCATGTTGGCCCCGCGGAGGAGGCCTCTCCGTTGGGAGACGCCAGGCAAGCGGCCTCAGAAGAGGAAGCCATTTTGGAGGACCGAGCCTGGCTGTTGTCTACTGAAGGTCTCCTGCCTTTCTCCCAAGGCTTCCTGGGGGCTGCAATGGCCAGAGGAAGAGGCAGCCCTCCCCAGCCTGAATCCCCTGCAGGGCCCTGGGGAGCATCCAGAGCCTCCCTTGGAGGAACATTGGGGTGCAGAAGGGGGAACCCCAAATGGAGCTTAGGCTCCTGGCAAGTGGGGAAAGGAACATTATAAGGCACTTTCCAGATGAGTCTAGGAATCGCTCCCCAGGGACCGATCTGCCCTGGCTTCCTCCTTGGAGGTCCCTTCAGGAGAAGGGGTCCCAGGTCTCCATGAGGGAAGCGTCCCTGAGTCCTGTGTTCGAGGCCAAGGCTTTCGCCTTTCAGGCTCCGGCCACCTCCATGGTGTTTCTTTGAGCTGTAGAAATGGGATCACATGCAGACATTCCCAAGATGAATAAGGATCCTTTGAAAAGATGGGCTCTGCTTTGGAATACCCCCCCCCCAACCATCTGTAAACTGAACTTCATGGTAAGAAAAAAACCTGTTTTTAAATGCATTGCCGATTCATTTTTGAATGTTTTAAAGAGTTGTTTCTACCAGTAATTTTAAATCACTTTCAGATTTATTTTTAAACCCAGTCATGTATATGTAGGAGAAATTCAAAAAAAGGTTGCTAGCCTGGAGGCTACCCACAAGGAAACCCAAAAGAAAAGTGGAAAGATAGGCTTTTATTGAAATACAAAGGTCACGCTGAAGTAGAAAGATAAATCTGAGAGCTCAGTGGGATGGTTTCTCTTTCTTTCACGTCTGCTAAGTTTCCTGAAGTTTTTTTCATTAACAAAGCTGAAAAACCTTTAGTCGAAAGTTCTTCTTTTACCAATTAAGTTTGCCTCTGTGTGATTTATAGGGGAACCAGATGCATCTACTCCAAAGAATCTTCTGCAGCTCTGCTCTCCATCCAGACATGGAGCGCCTTCACACTGAAGACCCAGAAAAAGAGACGGAGGGGAATGTGTGGGTCATAAGCCGGGAGTCGTTGGAAAGGAGTCGCTGGGAGAGGCAGAAGGTTGTGTTGAACAGGCGAGGGAAGAACAGGAGGAGAAAGAAAGAGCTCCATGGAAGATGAGGTTGGGCTGAGCTGGTGCGGGAATGAGCGGCAGAGAAAAATGGACAGCCAGCAAAAGGGGATGTAATGCAGCTCCTGAAACTGTTAACGCAAGTTATGATCTCGTTTGATGAAAGGGAATTAAGATGCCTTCTTCCCCATCCCCAGTGGATGTCCAAAGATTAGGAAAAGAAGAGGAAGCAGGATTGGATGAACATTAAAAGAGACCATAATTTTGGATTGTGACTTGGCTGAGATTTGTTGTAACAGTTTTAATAAGGCTTTATAGAAACTGGACCTAGAAGCTGGAGAAATACTAATTTGGATTATGAGGCTATCATTATAAGAGTCATATTGCACTGTCTGTGTTGTTAAGATTTGAAGGTTTGGCTAGGGAGGGAAATGTAGGGAAAAGGTCATCTTGCTGAAGGGGAGGGGAAAGGCTGGATACCAAGTACAGCTGGGTTTATTCTGGAGTGCATATTCTGAATAATTGTTGCAACAGATGATTTTCAGACAGGGAGATAGGAGTTTCCTTTTCATATTCTTTTGTAATTTTTATATTAAGATTCTTTTATTTTGAATTAAGGACACACATAGGAAGAGGAGAGTTGGAGGTGAGAGGGACCTGCAGGGAACACAGGGAAGGAAGGATCTCTCAGGATGGGAGATGGGGAGAAGAGGGGGACACCCAGGGGAGAGCTGGGGAGCCTGCCTTCCTACGTGTTGATGAATCATATGATACAAATATGATAAAGGGTATTTTTAGTTATTCTCCCCCCCTTCTCTTTTCTATACAATTGTGTTTTGTGAGGGTTGTTTAATAATTTTTGCTATATTATTTTTCTTTTTTGGTTTTCTTTCTGTATGAATTCTTTGATGGGAAGTGAGACCATCTTTCCAACTGAAGCTCTTTCCACATTCCAAGCACTAATAGGGTTTCTCCCCTGTATGAATTATTTGATGGGAAGTGAGACTCTGACTGTGTTTGAATCTCTTTCCACATTTCAAGAAATGATATGGTTTCTTCCCTGTATGAATTCTTTGATGGGAAGTGAGATCACTACTCTGACGAAAGCTCTTCCCACATTCAAAGCACTGATAGGGTTTCTCCCCTGTATGAATTCTTTGATGGGAAGTGAGACCACTACTCTGACGAAAGCTCTTCCCACATTCAAAGCACTGATAGGGTTTTTCCCCTGTATGAATTCTTTGATGGAAAGTGAGACTCTGCCTGTGACTAAAGCGCTTTCCACATTCCAAGCATTGAAAGGATTTCTCCCCTGCATGAATTCTTTGATGGGAAGTGAGACTATCTTTCCAACTGAAGCTCTTCCCACATTGGAAGCACAGATAGGGTTTCTCCCCTGTATGAATTCATAGAATCATAGAATCCTAGAGTTGGAAGAGACCACAAGGGCCATCGAGTCCAACCCCCTGCCAAGCAGGAGACACCATCAGAGCACTCCTGACATATGGTTGTCAAGCCTCTGCTTAAAGACCTCCAAAGAAGGAGGCTCCACCACGCTCCTTGGCAGCAAATTCCACTGTCAAACAGCTCTTACTGTCAGGAAGTTCTTCCTAATGTTTAGGTGGAATCTTCTTTCTTGTCGTTTGGATCCATTGCTCCGTGTCCGCTTCTCTGGAGCAGCAGAAAACAACCTTTCTCCCTCCTCTATGTGACATCCTTTTCTATATTTGAACATGGCTATCATATCACCCCTTAACCTCCTCTTCTCCAGGCTAAACATGCCCAGCTTCCTTAGCCGTTCCTCATAAGGCATCGTTTCCAGGCCTCTGACCATTTTGGTTGCCCTCCTCTGGACACGTTCCAGTTTGTCAGTGTCCTTCTTGAACTGTGGTGCCCAGAACTGGACACAGTACTCCAGGTGAGGTCTGACCAGAGCAGAATACAGAGGCACTATTACTTCCCTTGATCTAGATGCTATACTCCTATTGATGCAGACCAGAATTGCATTGGCTTTTTTAGCTGCCGCGTCACATTGTTGGCTCATGTCAAGTTTGTGGTCAACCAAGACTCCTAGATCCTTTTCACATGTACTGCTCTCAAGCCAGGTGTCCCCCATCTTGTATTTGTGCCTCTTATTTTTTTTGCCCAAGTGCAATACTTTACATTTCTCCCTGTTAAAATTCATCTTGTTTGTTTTTGCCCAGTTCTCTAATCTGTCAAGGTCGTTTTGAAGTGTGATCCTGTCCTCTGGGGTGTTAGCCACCCCTCCCAGTTTGGTGTCATCTGCAAATTTGATCAGGATGCCCTTGAGTCCATCATCCAAGTCGTTGATAAAGATGTTGAATAAGACCGGGCCCAAGACAGAACCCTGTGGCACCCCACTAGTCACTCTTCTCCAGGATGAAGAGGAACCATTGATGAGCACCCTTTGGGTTCGGTCAGTCAGCCAGTTACAAATCCACTGAGTGGTAGCATAGTCAAGACCGCATTTTACCAGCTTCTTTACAAGAATATCATGGGGCACCTTGTCAAATGCCTTGCTGAAATCAAGGTAGGCTACATCCACTGCGTTCCCTTCATCTCCCAGGCTTGTAATTCTGTCAAAAAACGAGATCAGGTTAGTCTGACATGACTTATTTTTCAGAAATCCATGCTGACTATTGGTGATCACAGCATTCCTTTCTAGGTGCTCACAGACTGTTTGCTTAATGATCTGCTCCAGAATCTTCCCTGGTATTGATGTCAGACTGACTGGGCGGTAATTATTTGGGTCCTCTCTTTTCCCCTTTTTGAAAATAGGGACAACATTTGCCCTCCTCCAGTCTGCCGGGACTTCGCCTGTTCTCCAGGAATTCTCAAAGATGACTGCCAGTGGTTCTGAGATAACATCTGCCAGTTCTTTTAATACTCTTGAATGCAGTTCATCTGGCCCTGGAGACTTGAATACATCTAAACTAGCCAAGTATTCTTGTACTATCTCCTTAGTTATTCTGGGTTGTGTTTCCTCTGCTGAATCATTTGCTCCAAATTCTTCAGGTCGGGCATTGTTTTCTTTATCGGAGAAGACTGAGGCAAAGAAGGCATTGAGGAGTTCAGCCCTTTCTGTGTCCCCTGTTTGCATTTCACCATCTTCTCCTCTGAGTGACCCCACTGTTTCTTTGTTCTTCCTTTTGCTACGAACATACCCATAAAAGCTTTTTTGTTGCTTTTAACCTCTCTAGCAAGCCTGAGTTCATTCTGTGCTTTAGCTTTTCTGACTTTGTGTCTACACGTGCTGGCTATTTGTTTGAATTCATCTTTGGTGGTTTCCCCCCTTTTCCATTTCTTGTACACATCCTTTTTAAATCTTAACTCAGTTATAAGTTATTTAGATAGCCACCCTGGCTTCTTTAGGCACCTTCCATGTTTCCGTCTCATTGGTATTGCCTGACGTTGTGCTTTTACTATCTCCCTCTTAACAAACTCTCAGCCATCATGAACTCCCTTTCCTTTTAGTATTACTGTCCATGGGATCTCACCCAGCACTTCCCTAAGTTTTATGAAGTCGGCTTTCTTAAAGTCAAGAAATTGAGTCCTAGTATGCTTGGCTGCTCCTTTCCGCTGTATAGTAAACTTCAGAAGAGCATGATCACTCACGCCTAATGATCCTTCCACTTCTACCCCACTAACCAGGTCATCAACATTGGTTAGGACCAGATCTAAAATGGCTGTTCCTCTTGTTGCTTCTCCCACTTTCTGGACAATGAAGTTGTCTGCAAGGCCAGTGAGGAATCTGTTTGACCTTATGCTCTTGGCTGAGTTTGACATCCAACAAATATCCGGGTAATTGAAGTCCCCCATTACTACTATCTCCCTTCCTTTTGCATGCTTGGCCATCTGTTCCAGGATGGGAAGTGAGATGGGCGCTTTGACTGAAGCTCTTTCCACATTCCAAGCACTGAAAGTGTTTCTCCCCTGTATGAATTCTTTGATGGGAAGTGAGATTCTGACTGTGTTTGAAGCTCTTTCCACATTCTCTGCACTGATACAATTTCTCTCCACTGTGAGTTCTTTCTTGTGAAGTGAGGCTATTACTCTGAATGAAGCTGTTTCCTTGATGGGAGGTGGACTGGGAGCTCTGACAGACGTTCTTTCCACACTCTGAATATTTATTTGACTTCTCCGCTATGTGGATTCTGGTGTGGTCCCCCTTGTTCTTCCCTTCCAATTCATCAACATCTGCAATGAAGAGAGAAGCTAATTAGAGCCTCAGGAAGAAATGGAGCTCCACATTATTGAACAAAGTTAATGAATGTTTGTGATAGAGGAAAAACTGAAGAGAGTTTGATGTGAGGCCTTACTATAATTTTTACTGCCTTTGTTGGCTGGTATTTACTGACATATTGCTGGCTTTTATCTGGGATAAATTTTGTTTCGCTCAATCCTGGAATCCATTCCGTCTCCAAGATCAGTCATCTCTTTGGTTAATCAAAGGCAAACAGAAGGAAAAACCACAAACCTGACAGAATTTAATTCAACTTCCCTTAAAGCTCTGAGGCCAACATTTAAAAAGACCAGGGAGGTTCAGACAAGCCTGGTCATTGCTTAAAAAGGAATGACTAGACAAAGAAAATTCAGAGAGGAAAGAGTTGATATCCCTCCATTCAGGGTTCATGGCGGGGATGTTAGCATCTCAGATGCTGTTGGTCTCCATCCAAATAGTGGAGGTTCATCACAGAGGTATGTATGGAGTTTCAAAACTGATCTTATGGTCCAATAGGGAGTTTTACCGAGAGAGTCCATGATCCCACATTTCTTCTCCTTGACTTCCTTATGCAGAACTCTTTGGTCAGGATCCAGCAACGTCCACACCTTGTCTGTAAAACAAACAGCAACATCTTCACCTGCACATGCCCCATCAGCAGTGTCCTCAATCTGGTTGGTCCAAATTTAAATTTATATGTAAATTACCTTCTTCACTTTGAACCCCCCCCCCATGTTCATGAGGAGACCAGGGAAAATGACTATTACTCACGCTTAATCAAAGCACAACAGCCACAAGAGCTCCTGTCTAGGCATTCGGCTATGTGGTGTTCAATGTTCTCTGTTCTCTCCTGTTTTCCCTTTTTTGTTTCCGTTTAAACCATTTCATGAACCCAAAACTCATACACTGACTACTAATGATGAACCACATATTATAGATCAGGCATGCCCAACTTGAAGTAGGCTGTGATCTACGATCCAATATAAAAACTGGCAGTGATCTACCACCCAGGGATGGGTGTAGGGTAGGTGGGCGCGCACCGGCTTCTTCTTCTGAGGGGGCGGGAGCACTCAGACTGCTTCCCCTGGTGCTGATTGCTTCCCCTGACATGCCAGGCATGCGCAGCAGCAAAACATCCCCTCCTGTGAGAGGAGCTTGGCCGTTGCTTCCCGGACTGGGCCCACACGTGGTGTTGCAACAGCCCCTCAGGCACATCTCCAGCAGAGGGAAGGCTGCAATCTATGAACATTCATCCCACGACCAACGGATCAATCGCTATCGACGTGTTGGACATGCCTCTTATAGATATTCCTGCAAATTTATTCTGCTATTTTTGAGATATACAAATGACATGAGAAGACTCAGTCTACATATTTGTATAATTTATTATTGCTATGATCCTTGTTTTTAAAAGCAATAAAAAGTTATTCCAAATATCCATAGAAACAACATGAAAGACAATTGGCTAACATATAGGGAACTCAAGGAGGAGATAAATTATCGCCAGAAAGTGAAAAAATTTGAAGCACTTAAACAGTGGGGTGAATTGGCTAGAATATTACCAGCTAACAGCAACGTTCAAGAAGGATAAAAAGTCAAAGGGTTTTGATAAAAAAAAATCGGTATGGGAAATGGAAATATTATACAATAATCAAAAGACTATATCAAAAATCTACAAATTGTTACAGAATGGACAACCAGAAAAAGAAGTGTCAGGGAACTGACATCGGAGCTAGAGGCGGAGGGAAGGCTCTCAAATGATGCTGGAGAAGGGCCCAGCAGGGAGAGAGGCAGCTCCGCAGAGGGGGAAGCTAATCAGCGCAACACCAGGGATAAAGGGGGGCAGATGGGGGAATCGGCGAGAGGGCTCCAGGACTCTTCATCGGACACCAGCGGGGAGAGCACGGGTCCTCCGCTACCCACGCCCTCCCTGCGCAGAAGGCTTCCGCGCAGGGAGAGTAGGAGGAGACTTGGCGTCAAACAACTTTTATGTTGGAAAAGGTTTAAGAAACGCCTACTGACGGATTCTGCTAGCGACTGAGGCAGCCACGAAGTGAAGGGCTGTCCAGACAGAAAGGTTTAACAAGGCAACATAGCCAGGAGAGGCGGCAACTTACGCATGAGCAACCCATACTCATTATACCAATCCGTCAGTCCCTGACGTCGCTCGTGCATGGCGACAGGCAAGCAGCATCATGAGCAAAACCGGAGAAGCTGGCGCCACGGAGGGAGCAGCTGGAGTGCAAAATCTGGTGGAGAGGAACCGAGATTTGGAACAGCATGTGGCTCTTCTGACGGCGCGGCTGGACGAAAGGCGGGCTCAGGATGCTCAGATCAGACCCACCCCCGTAGCAAGGAAGGTACCGGGACTGGTACACAAATTTGGAGGGAAACCCCAGGACTACAGTGCGTTCCGAACAGAAATAGAGTACGCTTTGGAACTGCAACAGAATGATTTTGCAGACGATGGGGAGAGGGTTGCCTATATTGTCGGACATCTGCAGGATGGGGCCAGAGAATGGATCAGGCCCCTAATGGCAACGCAGAATGCCGCCTTGAAAGACCTGAGGAAATTCTTCCAGGCGATGGATGCGATGTATTCCAGTGATGTACAGCAAAGTGTGACTCAGCGGGAACTGATGGGCTGCAAACAGGGGAACCAGTCAGTTAGAGACTACTGGTCACGCTTTGCCATGTTAGTCCACCAGCTCGGGTGGGAATTGGACTCTGAACCCATTCAAATGCTGTTCGAGGAGGGGTTGTCCCCAACGGTGAAGGACGAACTTTCCCGCACACCCTGCCCGCAGTCGATGGATCAGCTGACCAAGGCTGTGCTTGCGATTGGTGTAAGGCAGGAAGCGCGGGCCCAGGAGAAGCGGGAAGGGAGAGAGCAACGTTACCATGACTACCGCATTCCTGAAATACCAAGGCAGCCTTCCCCACCGGCGGAACCAATGGAAATAGATGGGGCACACGCGTGGGAGGTTTCAAACTCCAGTGAAGGTTGCAAGAGGGAGGGAAAGGATGGGAAAACCACCAAGAAGTGTTTTCTCTGCCAGCGGCGAGGACATTTTGCCAGGGTCTGCCCGCAAAGAAAGGCCTGGCAAGGGATGGTGGGAGCTGCAGGGGGTGAGGAGGAGATGGTAAAGGGGCAGGAGCAGGGAAACGCCAACGCTTGGCTGCCACTCAGCGGGCACAGCAGCCAGGCCAGCAACCAAGAGAAGTGCCCCAACCAGACCCCCCCAGGGCGGCTATAGCCATAGAAGTGGTGCTAGAACTCCCGAATGGGCACCCAGTCAAGGTGAAAGGGCTGTTGGATTCAGGCAGTTCCTGCAATTTCTTCAGCAAGGACTTTGCACTAGAGCACCAGCTCCACCTGCTGCCCCTGGATTTCCCCTTGCAAGTAACCACCATTGATGGCAGGGAGCTTCTGGGAGGGAAAGTGACGCACTAGACCCCACCAATGAGAATGAGGGTTTCCAGGCACACGGAGACCATCGCCTTTCACGTCGCCTCGCTAGCAGGACCCCCAATAATAATAGGGATGAGCTGGCTAGCACAACATGATCCAGTGGTGGCATGGCATCAGAGAACGGTCACCTTTGGGTCCGCTTACTGCTTGGAACACTGTCTAGGGGGGGGGAAACCCCAAGAATGACCGTGGCCAGGGTGGCTGGGATAGCTGTGGAGCCGAAAGGGGAGGTGCCACCACAATATGCTGACCTGCAGGAGGTCTTCAGCGAGAAGGAGGCAGATAGACTACCCCCCCATAGGCCCTTTGCCTGCCAAATCAACTTGCTCCCTGGGGCGCAACTACCGGTGGGTAAACTGTATGCCATGTCGGACAGGGAGATGAAGGAGTTGCGGGAATTTATTGACAAGAATCTGAAAAGAGGCTTCATAAGAGAATCAAAAGCAGTAGGGGGCAGTCTGGTGTTCTTTGTGGACAAAAAGGACACTAATCAACCCAGGCTTGTTGTGGACTATAGGGCCGTCAATTTGGTATCGGAACCAGTGACCTTCCCAATGCCCAGGATTGACGACATTTTAACACGGGTGAGGCAGGGGAAAATTTTTACACCAAGCTTGATCTCAGGGGAGCATACAACTTGATTAGGATGAGGGAGGGGGACGAATGGAAGACCACAATGTTCACACCCCTGGGGGCCTTTGAGTACCTAGTTATGCCTTTTGGATTACAGTCGGGCTCCGCCTGTTTTCAAGCTTTCATGCACCACGTGTTGGGGTCCCTGCTGTACAAGAACTGCGTAGCCTTCTTGGACAACGTCTTAATCTATTCGGACAATGAGGAGCAACATGTCAGAGACGTCAGGGAAGTGTTACAACAACTGCAGAAGCACCAGTTGTGGGTCAAGCTGGAAAAATGTCAGTTTCACGCCAGAGAAGTCGAGTTTCTGGGGTACAAGTTGTCAGACAAAGGCTTAGCGATGGACCCAAGCAAGGTGCAGGCAGTGCTGGAGTGGAAGGCTCCCAAAACCCGGAAGGACGTGCAGAGGTTCCTAGGGTTCAGCAACTTCTACAGGAAGTTCATCAAGAACTTCGCCCACTTGACAGCACCCATCACAGATTGTCTCAGTAGCAAAAGGAAGTTCGTCTGGACAGAGGAGGCCCAGCAATCCTTTGAAAAACTGAAGAAGGTGTTCGCATCGGAAGAGCAACTCCTGCACGTGGATCTGGAGAAACCCATGAGGGTCAATATTCCTTTTCCTTTCTATTTACGAGGTCATTCTAAACTTCGCAATCTGTTCTTCCAGTGAGCAGTCAGGGCTGATTTCCTTCAGAATGGAGAGGTTTGATCTTCTTGCAGTCCATGGGACTCTCAAGAGTCTCCTCCAGCACCAGAATTCAAAAGCATCAATTCTTCGGCGATCAGCCTTCTTTATGGTCCAGCTCTCACTTCCATACATCACTACTGGGAAAACCATGGCTTTAACTATACAGACCTTTTTGGCAAAACCATGTACTCAACACCATGTACTTCCTTAATTCCTTATCAAGTTTCCTTATACCATTTGTAGCAATTAAAGCTTCTTCTAACTTTAGTCTACAGCAACTTCTGTGTCATTCATTTAGTTTTCTGCAGAATGCAGAGGCCAGACTGGTGACTGGGAGTGGCTGCCGGGACCATATAAAACCCCTCCTAAAGGATCTACATTGGTTCCCAGTATGTTTCTGAGCACAATTCAATGTGTTGGTGCTGACCTTGAAAGCCCTAAACAGTTTGGCCCTGTATTGCTGAAGGAGCGTCTCCACCCCCTTCATTCATCCTGGACAATGAGGTCCAGATCCGAGGGCCTTCTGGCGGTTCCCTCCCTGTGAAAAGCAAAATTACAGGGAAGCAGACAGAGGGCCTTCTTGGTGGTGGCACACTCCCTGTGGAACGCCCTCCCATCAGGTGTCAAGAAAGAGCACCACAACTTTTAGGAGATATCTGAAGGGAGCCCTCTATCGGGAAGTTTTTAATGTTTGATGTTTCAGTGTGGTTTTATATGTGCTGGAAGCTGCCCTGAGTGGCAGGGGAAACCCAGTCAGATGAGTGGCACATTATTATGATTATGATTATGGTTTTTCACACGGGCTGCTGCTGGCTTCACCCTGGTGCCTTGCCAGGGCAGGGAGGCAGGGGTCTTTCTAAAAATACTTAGCTGAGCAAGGCTGGATGCAGCTCCTGCTCCCGAGAGTGGCACATGCTGGAGCAGTATGTGGGCTTGCTCAGTTGGGAGGCGGCAGGGGATGTTTAGCTGCTGATCCATTACAAAGTTGGAAACCAGATCTCACCCAGCCCTAGTGGCTCCTCCAAAGGATCCCGGGAACCGGAATGAGAGGGGCTAGGAGACACGTCCAGTCCTGCCGCCCTGCATTCCCAAGGCTGCCATTCCCAGAGGGGTCAGCAATCCACACTTCTTGCCAGGGAACTCTGGGAATTGTCGTTTGGCAGATGGGGGGGAGAGGGTCTCCCATCCAGTCTCCCCACATAGGGGGCTGCCTCTCCCCACTCCACAGGGCTCCTCCTGCCTCCAGTTCCTTGGATGCTTATCTCTGTTATTCAATGCGACTTTCCCCTCAATCCGAAGGGGCCTCATTTGCATGCCCTGTTTCTCTTGCCCCAAAGCCCCCTCCCCCAAAAGGAAGGCAGCATCTGGATCCCAAGGAAGAGCAGAGCTGCAGACCTCCTGCGAACTCGCCCCCACCCT